ATTTTAGCGAGTTGAATATACCAGAAAACCAGGGTTGAGAATAACTGATTGAGGCTTCAAAGATTCTGTTTATTTCTCATCCCTGCTGGTCTTGACAAAAGTAGCAACTCCCTTGTCTGAAAAGTCGTGATTCCCACTCAGAATTAACAAATATTACCCCGGCAGAGGTGTAATTCGCTTCCCCTCCCCTTCGGGCCTAGACCTTCATATAGTAGTTCTGTCAGCATCACCTAGTGCATCAATCAATCACGACAAATCCAAGGGGATAACAGGGAATATTGTGGGTACTCTTATCTCCCCCACCATCTTTGAACCATCTCTCCTAGATAGGTTACGTCCTAGAACAGGTACAGCTAGTCTGACAAGCTTTCTAAGGTCCACGCTATTATCACGAAAGATAAGGGGGGCAACAGTGAAGTCCTTCAACATCCACCCTTCGCCATTATATTTACTAGATGGCAGCTTCGAAGTCGAAGCAGCAATACCACAATCATGAGTACAAGCAGTAACGGCGAAGCTGACTCCATGACCGAAACTCATGCAAGTGCTTCTGTGATCAAAGAGACATCCCGACCTGTCAAACGATCTCGCGTTGCGGTGGCTTGTCGAAGATGCAAGTCAAGGAAACAGATAAGTGTTCTGTCAACAACCTAAGCGTACCAATAATCTGACGTCAAACACAAGTGCAATGGCCAGCAGCCTTGCTCTAATTGCGAGTCGTTTGGATTGCCATGCCAGTATCTTCAAACATCTAAGCCAAAGTCTAACCAACAAGAGCCTCAGTCTTACGAGACTATAAATCAGCGCCTAGCAAAACTAGAGGCTACAGTTCGTGACAAGACTGCCAACGACCCAGGGCTACTTATGGGAGATGAAGGGGGCCTTCGGCAATCAACAGTCTTCAGACTACCCAGCCACTCGCCAGAGAGCAGTCAAACCTCGGGGGAAACACCTAGGAATCGGGCCCAAACCATCAGTTCGGTCTCGCATATCCTTCGGGATATGTCATTGGGAGGTCTAGGCGGATACGTTGGGGCGACGTCACAAATAACCATGGGACGAATAATAAGCTCAATGATGCAAATTGAGGATCATAGCATGAACGACAGACCAATTGAAGCTGCTTCGGATGAAGGTAACAATCAATGGGAGCATCTAAGCCCAAAATCAGCCAGCACCACAACGGGAACATCTCAGGCCGCAATCGACCTCGCGCAAATTCCTGTTGCGGTTGCTGACAAGCTTCTCCGTGGTTATATCCATCATATATCTACGAGATGGCCAGCATTGCACTCATCATTCCTGCGACAACTGCACCAGAGACGGGCAGCTTTGACTGACATTTTCGAGTAAGGCAACATCCTCTAAAAATAAACCTCTCTTAGTGCTCTAGAAAACGTAGCAGCTTACGTTTCGTAGGATTACAGCTGCACATATGGTGTACGCCATTGGTGGCCGGTTTTTAGAGACAACAGGCGAGACTGGCGATTTTGCCTCTGAGCAACACTGTGAGCAAGCAACCAGGAATCTTCATCATGTTATTGCCCACTACCATGGCATGAAGTCGATCCAGATACTCCTGCTCTTTGCAATATACAACTTGAGATCACCGAAGGGATTGGGAGCATGGAATTACACAGGATTGGCCATGCGCCAATGTATCGAACTCGGCCTGCACCGCCAAGCCCCACTGAGAACGTCTCCCTTGATGGAAGAGATGCGGAAGCGCATTTTCTGGACGAGTTATTGCCTGGACCGCCAGGTATCCATCATATTAGGCCGGCCGTTTGCAATATCTGATCGAGACATAGACGTCGAGGTGAGTTTGACAGAAGAAAGTCCATATCTCCATGTCTTGATTTCCGATTATCCTGTGCTGACCATTTGTTTAGCTACCTCTAGATATCGACGAATCAATAGAAGACGAAGTTCTGATAGCTAACAGCAAGAGAAAAGCAGTTGCAAAAAGTGATAGGCCTCCAGAGAAGTCAAGTTCAATGACCGGTTTCGTTTATATTTGTCGACTGAGAATGATAGAATCCGACATCCAACAAACAATATATCGGGTTGATAGACCGCCTGTGTCATTGAAACAAGATGTTGAAGCATTTATGATACGTCTAGAGGAATGGAAAGCATCAATGCCACTTGATGCAGGGCAACTGCCAAATTTTAGCATATTGTGCGTCGACGGCTATGATAATTACGTGAGTAAATCTTATTTGTGCAGTGCCTTGTCCCTCTTTGTTCAACCCAGGACGGCAATGTTTCGAAAGAAAACTGACGATATGATCAAAGATGGTGTATTTTTACAAATGCATGCGGTTTCTACTATATCCAATCATTCTATCCCATGAGCTTGTGGACAGTCGGTATCTTAGGAAATGTGCCGAAGCTTGTGGCGGAGTGTGTCGCACGTACAAGAAGTTGCACCAAGTTGTGCCAGTCGGGTTCTCTATCATGGCACTTCACTCTGTATTTCTAGCCGGTAAATGATTCTCCAATCCATTACCAGCTCCACTGGTCATATTACATGACAACTGACGCCAGTATACATCCATATTTAGGTCTTACATTGTTGTACTGCACCTGGGGCGCACCACGTGAAGTATTCAGTATCACCACCAGTAACGACATTAACGCCTGTAGTATCGTTATGTATATAATTGCAGAGCGTTGGTAAGCAGTTCGTGATTTCATCTTTGTAGGCTCCGGACCTGGAAGCCATTGCACTATTCAAATTTGTGTGCGCATATCACACGGCATATCCATTGTACCTTTTCATTTCCCTCCACTCATACAACTATAGGGTATTTGCTGACTGTAAATGTTATAGGACTGGGGCCCGTAAGTATCGCGACGTGTTCGAAGCCGTGAGGCAGGCGGTACTCGAAGCAATAGAAAAAGGGGGCGACACCCCCCGATGTCCAATTGCCAACTTGAGACCAGAGGTCCGAGCAGCCTTACGCTCTGTGGTTGGGGGATTTGTAGAAGCAAAAGGGGAATTCTCTGCAATGCTTGACGACATGATAGGATCTCCCGGCAGTCAAAGTAGAGACGCGAACGATGGAAGTCATGCGGGCCAGGACCACTGGAGCGAAGATCCGCCCAGCAATCACAACACAGGGCCCGGTTTTCCCCATGCGACCTTTGATAATGGTGACTCATTTCCTCACGAAGCGGCTACTTATGTGTTCAATCTGGATAACATGGCAATGGACGATTTGGCCATGGATTTCTCGGTGCCCGAGGACAGTAAGCTAGTTCTAGAGTTCATTTTTACCCCCTCTGGCCATGGTCTGAGTAACGAAGGCCAAGAGGCTGTCCAAAAAGGACTGTTACTCCCCCCCTCCTTCGCATTTCCTGACGCTTTTACTGTTCCCACAGCAATTACTGACTTTAAATGGTGTAGTGGACATGCTGATTGGTGGGCTTGTTGACGTATCACAGAACGAGTGGGTGATGCGAAACACCTTTACTCCTCCAACGAGATAAGAGCTATTTTGTGTCAAAATAAGATAGGCGCTATCTGCCGCAAAACTGTTGAGATAATGTCAGGAATACTTTACTCTAACCTTATCGCGAAATATCCGTCTCCCCTAAGTACCACTACCCGATCAGCCGTCGGATGCCTGATTTCCACTTCCGACACGTCTTCCTGGCCCTTATTGCCCATTGTACAAGATAGAATATCCAATGTCTATTTGCTTGGTGCATTGAAAAGACGACCGATCATAACGCGCTTGTCAATTATGAGGCGCTAGGAGACCGGATCTCGACTTCGACGGATCTGCAGGCCGTTGCCGACTTAGAGCTCAATTGAATAGCCAGAGGCCCACGCAATAGACATTATATTATACAGCAACGTATGTTAACCTAGATGTGTCTCTAAATATTGAACACGCACAGCACTGTCCTTCACTAGATTTGTACCCGTAGCGTTTGTGGCTTTTTGACACGATTTCCCCCTCAAGACTTGAACAAGTTTGTTGAGTCTAACTTCTCTTCACCCATTTTTAGTGCTAATGGGACCCGACAATTCGGTGACAGGGTATCACCTCGGTGTAGATGTCGGTGTGAGTTCATCTTTCGATCACGTCGCTTCACTAGGGTCATACATGCCTAATCAAGCTGCCACGCACAATAGGGTACCTTTACTGACGTCTGTGTCATCACGCCTGGCGGGGATACTGTCCGGGCTAAGACTCCATCAACGCCCCACGACCAGAGTGTCGGCGTGAAAAATGGCATAACTAAGGTTCGCAAGCTTCTCGAGGCGAAATATGGTTGGAGTGGACAGTTCACGGCTATCCACCACGGTACAACTGTTGGTGAGTGCACCTGAAGTTCAATCTTCCGTGATGCTTGTCGAGCATCACAGGATGGACAACACAGACGTGCCAGAAGGCGGATATGATAGTAACTCGGTTGATAGCTACGAATGCAATCCTGGAAGACAAAGGGGTCAAAGCAGGCTTGATTGTCACCGCTGGATTCAAAGATGTTTTGGTTAACCGGCGATCCCAAATCCCTGGTGGTCTTGGAGGTTGGATAAGCTTCGTGCCTCCAACTCCTATGATTCCTTTGGAACGAACTGTAGAATGCACGGAGCGGATGTCGGCAGATGGCAAAACCGTGACGCCCGTGGATCATGTTGCTCTCCGCAAGAACCTAGCTGATCTTCGAAGTCAAAACCCAGAAGCGATTGTCATTAGCTTCGTAAATGGCTATCGTAATGATTCCCATGAGAAAATAGTCGCGGAAATCGTTCGTGATGTGTTCGGTCCGGATATCGAGGTCGTCTGCTCTGCCGAGGTTTTGCCCGAACTGGGAGAATACGAACGCACAGTCACGGCCGCGGCAAATGCTGTGGTCAAACCCCTGATTCGCAAATATCTCCGAGGACTGGAGCACCTCCTCGAGGAAGACAGTGACACGATCCGGATCTTGAAGAGTGATGGCGGCCTCACGAGTCTAGATCTGGCGAGTGAGTTGCCAGTAAACCTTTTGATGTAAGGCACTTTAAATTAAATCCGCTATCAAACAAGGTTTTCTCTTTATATCGACTAACGACATTTCACCTTAGGTCCGGTCCGGCAGGCGGCGTGCAGGGCGTCGTTGATGTGATAGCACATAACACGCAGTACAAGAATCTTATCACACTCGATATGGGCGGTACATCAACCGACTGTGCTCTCATCATAGATAGCAAAGCAACTCTGCGTCGGGAAACGATGGTCGACAAGCTGACAGTGCGTGCACCATCCGTTGATGTCAAGACGATAGGCGCCGGTGGTGGCTCAATCGCGAAATTCGTTGATTTGACGGCAACCATGCGCGTCGGACCACAAAGTGCCGGGGCCGTCCCCGGGCCCGCTGCCTACGGCAAGGGTGGCAAGGAGCCAACAGTGACTGATGCCAATCTGGTCCTGGGCTATTTACCTGAACGACTTCTCGGTGGAGATTTCCAACTGGACGTGGACGCTGCAGTGGTTGCTGTCAAGACTATTGCTGACCAAATGGGTATCTCGACCAAGAGGGCAGCTGAAGGTATCATCAATCTGGTAAATGAAACCATGTATGGCGCTCTCCGGAACGTTTCGGTTGAACAGGGCTACGATCCCCGTGATTTTGCTCTTGTAGCTTTTGGTGGAGCTGGACCACTTCATGCAAATGCCGTTGGGAGGCTCCTGGGTGCCTGGCCTGTTATTATTCCACCAGCTCCAGGTGTGCTTTGTGCCGAAGGAGATGCCATGACAAAGCTACGCCACGAGCAGTCTATCTCTTACGTTAGACTACTTTCCCAGATTACCCTGGACGACCTCGTGGAGGTGACTCGGCCCCTGGAGGAAGGTTGCACTTCAAAGTTGTTGGCTGCTCTTGCCGGCTCGTCACAGACCTCTCTTCGGCTCACATATGAGGTCGACTTACGATTCAAGGGTCAAGCCCTCAACCTGACTATCCCTTTCACACAACCTGAGATGACCGCAGGCATGGAAGAACTTGCTAAGACGCTCGCTCGTCGATTCAATGCCGCCCATGAACAACAGTTCGGTTTTACCATGCCATCCTTAGAGCTCGAAGCAGTGAGGCTTGGAGTCGTGGCCACAGACTCTTCAGCTTCTGTCCAATTAGCCCAGCTAAAGGAACAATCAGAAGGCGTCGTACGCCCCCCAGATTCTGCGGTTGTCAACCGTAAGGATATTGTTGTCGATGGCAAGAAAGTAACGGCGACATTCTGGGACCGAGCCCAGATATCAATTCCTGGTTGCCGAGTGGACGGCCCCTGCGTAATCTCTGAGATGGACTCCAACACCCTCATTCTCCCGGGCTTTTACGGAGAAATTGATCATATCGGTAATATCTTGATCCGCCCCCTGGACGACGGCTCATCTTCTACTGTAACATCACACACTCCCGAGTCAGCAGCCTCGTTCATCGCCCAGAACCCTGTTGTGCCTACACTAGTATCATCCGCCCTAGCTGCTATACGGAATGAAATGGATTCCTTGGTTCTCCGAGCATCCATGTCGCCTGGCATCCGTGAGCAGCAGGACGAGTTCAACGTCGTCACTGATCCGGCCGGCAAGATGTTGGTCGGACAATTTGGCAGTTTTATCGGCGAGTTTTTGGCAATGTGGAACAATTCAGGTGGTACCATAGAAGAGGGGGATATCTTCATCACAAATGACCCATATCAAGTTGATGGAGCTATAAGCCATCTATGCGATGTCATCATTCTCTTGCCAATCTTTTATGATCACAACCTGGTCGGTTGGAGCGCCAATTTTGGACATCTCTCGTAAGTAATCAGCCTACCAGAGACTTACAATCCAACGCCAATGTGCCTATACTAATGTTACTTTCGTAGCGATGTTGGTGGAAAGGTCCCAGGAAGCATGTCAATAAGCTCCAGCACCATCTTTGAGGACGGAGTCCAAATTCCATGTGTTAAGCTTTACTCGAAGGGCGAATACAATGCAGTCCTCATGGAAGTATTGTGCCGTAATTCTCGAATGCCTGATTGGTATAAAAGCGACATCGCCGCCTTGATATCCTCGTGTAAAACCGCTGCGGCTCGAGTGTGTGACCTCATTGTTAGATTTGGCCCGGAGTATGTACGCCTCGTCCCGTATTGAACAGCCAACCACTGACCTACGTCATAGAGTATATGCCGCTTCATGCGATGAGCTTCTAAGACGTAATCGCTCTGCGATTGCCAAGATCATTGAGACACAGCTCTCAGGAAAGCCAAGCCAATTTACTGATTTTTGTGATGATGATGGCGCGGGAATTGGTCCGTACGCAGTAACGTGCAAGATGACCACTGAAAATGGGAGACTTATCTTCGATTGGGACGGGACAAGTCCTCAGAGTGACCAGTCTTCACTCAATTTTTATCTTTCTCCCACGATGTTCAAGATGTTTGTTGCGTAAGTCTTGCTCCAAACGTTACTGGTTCCAAACCGAATACGACCACGCTGACTCTACCTAGATACTATCTCATTGCCGTCTTTGATCCATATGCCATCGTAAATGATGGTTTTCAGGATCTCATGGAAGTTCGGATTCCTGAAGGATCCGTACTGAGACCCGTGCGGCCAGCCGGTCTGAGTTGCAGAACGCATTTGCTCGGAAGAGTTCTTGACATAATCCAGGCATTGATGGGCCAGAGAAACAAGTCATATCGCGCTGCGGCTGGTTTCTCAGATTCACCACACTTTTTCTACTCTGGTTGGAAGCCTAACGGCGAGTGGTTCCAATTATACCAGATCACATTTGGAGGCGTTCCAGCACGTCAGATTGGAGACGGGGTAAGTGTTTCTGACGTGTATTACTATTTTCGACCTGGGCAAGTCTAACATGTGTATCTAGCCTGATTGCCACTGCCTTTGGCCTGCCATAAAATCGGTACCAGCAGAGAGCATTGAGATAGGCTTCCCGCTACTCATCGAAGCGAACGAATCGCTTGCCGATACGGGAGGCGCTGGGTTCCACCGTGGCGGGAACGCTCAAAGGACACGTTACAGATTCTTGAACCGTGGAGAGGTCAGCATACATGACGATAGATGGTTCACTTACCCCTGGGGTATTGATGGCGGCCAGCCAGGGAAGCGTTCGCGCAAAACCTTGTTGAGATACTCAGTTGACCCAGATAAGCCCCCCATGGAAGCAATACCGTCTAAGTGCGACCACATCAAGGTTGCCCCAGGTGATGTGCTCGAGTACGTGACGTGGGGTGGCGGAGGCCTTGGAGATCCTCTAGAAAGACCTGCAGAAACGGTGGCACTGGAAGTTCATCGCAAACTTGTCAGTTTGGAGGGGGCTAAAGACAACTATGGAGTTATAGTCAATCCAGGGTCATTCACAGTCAATCAGGATGAGACGAAGATACTACGAGAGCGGATAAAATTATCTCGAAAGGCAGATATCAGCATCTATAACCGCGGCGCGTCCCTTCAAGAGCTAAGAGAAAGGTGTCTTGAAGAGACAGGATTACCAGCTCCGAAGCCACAGTGGCTGGAGGATCCATACGGACCTCACATGACATTGCCATTCGTGCAAGACTGGTACCAAAGCAAAAGAAGTATTGGGGACTGGAGTCTAGAATGATTCATATGAATAGGTGATATGTAACCTTTCAAGCATTGATAGTGTTCAAATAATGGCCGGCACTTCGCAATGTGTCAATGTTATATAAAGCCTTACTAGTCAGTAATTAGGGATCGATCCTTTTGCTACTTGACAAGATGGGTTTGTTCAGTGTTATCATGAATCGATGCCCGCAAGCAAGTATATAAGCCATTCTAAAAGAAATAGCCGGATTTTGGCTAGTCGCATGTTTACTTGTTGAATATCTTCCAACTATTTTCTCATCAATGATGTTTGTACAAGGCGGGTACCGGCTCTCGCAGCAGCCGGCTGACTGTTCCGGGCCAAGTATATCAAACCCTCTTGATCATTATCTTACGTACCTCTGGGTCACAGGCTTCCACCAGCAATGCTCTCCTCTAACTTCTAGTACTCTATACCGTCCGCTTTCTTAGCACATACAAACTATAGTATATGTTTCTTTCAGATCGTATATATGCACAGAATATATTCAGAAAAGCATAGCAGAGGTTAAAATCACAAATAATCAAATTTCCTCATGCTTGTAGGATTTCTCATACATTTGTCGCCATGTCCATTATACAAATCTCCACTTCAGTCACTAGGTATGCTTTCACCAACCACTAAAGGCTTGGCGATCAAGACGAGGACCTCTCAGGTATAGCAGCTATTTTTTTGTGCGATCATCCTGAGGAGATGGCGTTGTATGGGCGTTACTTCTGCTAAATCACGAGAGGACGTAAATGCTGTTCATATGTCTTTTCAAGGTAGAAGTGCTAGGTAGAGTGCTAGAGTCCTGGCCCCGATGGATACTTCCAGATCCATGCCGACGCCGCTGCTTTTGAAAAGGTACTCGAAGAACTAGACACGATAGCTACTGTGAAGTCATTGATGCCGGACTTTGAGTATAGAGTTGTGATAGAGAAGAAGTGTATAAACTTCTTGGCTGCTTTAGTGGCGATTATCGACTACTCTATGGCAAATTTCGTATAAAATTTCACGTCAGAACTTGTGAGACTTAGTTACCCGTTCCTGTACGTTATCATGATTTTTTCAAGCACCCTAAGCTAGGATAAGATTAGGCATTTGGCCAGTGGCCGAGCAGAGTGGGTGGTGTAACTTTATGGGGAAGGCCACTATCGTTCACATAATTCGGTAGTTGCAGCATACTCCAGTGGGCTAGTAGAACCAGATACAAGTACGTCAAGCCACCGTCTTCAATACGGTAGCTCTTGGGCCTACCGTTTCAACCGCCTTTCTTTTCATGACCTCTTATAGGAGGAAGGGGAGAGGAAAAGAAGGGATGACCCTGCCAATGGACCCGCAAATGTGCAAATACGACCGTGAGCCTTCCTGTGACGCTGGTGTCAGCCCAAGGTGCTGTTTTCCTAGTATCAGGTATCCTTTCTGCATTAGCGACACTGGTACTTCAATGCTACCATGCGCTGTATCTGCTGGGAAAATGACCAGGCCATGTAGAATCACAAAGGTTCAATGAAAGCAACGCCACAACCAGACTTATAACACTGCCGCTCACTATACAGCGTGGAATCGAGCCAGGTGGATTTCTTCTCCTTGTCACGGCTTCAAGCCCTGAGCAAAGTGAAGAAGAAGAAAAAAAAAAGGGAGGGTTGGGTTCGGGTTGAGGGTCGATTGGTTGCGACAAGACCTTAGAAAATGAAAGGCTACCAGATGCGAACAATAAGCGCGGATCCTGGCAGTAAGTTTCGGTATGTAGAACACCCCACGTGCATTTGCTATGATATCAGCTGGCTTGCCAAAGAAATGTCTTCAGCTTCTTATTCTTTTCGCAACTTCCCGTCTTCGCTACCCCAGTCATAGTCTGGCAAGCGACGACGATCATGACATGACGTGATCCAAACGAGAGCAGCCACCCCAACAACAATGAGCAGCATCGCAGTTGCCAATGCAAGAGTTGGATCCCCTCTAGCTCTAACCCATATGATGATGCACGCACCCAGCATACATGTGATACCTAGATGGAAAGACACAAGCCCAAACAGGGCACCTTGGAAAGCTTGGAGGCGAGGAGGGCCAGGTGAGAAGAAGCCAAATCGATCAGGTATATGTAATACGCTGGACTGTATCCGGTAGCCATGAGCGGCGATTGTGAGATGGACCGGGTTGAGTTGACCTTCTATCCATCGAGGGCCAAAGAGCTGCTTTGTTGCTATGAAGAGGCTATCACCTCGGTGGTTGGACATTGTAGCGGCTCTTGGGAGTTAACATCGCATATTAGCTTACTTACCCAAAAAGTGGTAGGCCGCAATGATTATGAATTTTACTCACCGAAGCAATGGGTAAATTCGAAACTTGTCTTCGAGTGCAGGAGTAGTGAGCAAGTACTGTACGTGCTACTTGTAAGTAAGGCAGGGCAGAGGTGGCCTGAACTGTCACGTGGGTGGCGGCGAAGGCATTGAACCAAAATAGACCTGGCATAGGAACCTACAAAATATGAAGGCAAGACCATCACAGGAATTCTGGTCGAGGAATCTGTACCTCTCTTAACAAGACCTAACTCTACCCTGGGATCCCCTATGTGGATAAGGAGTAGGTATTCAAGGTTGGCTTTGGCTGGCTCGGCTGACTTTGGCATTACCAAACCCCGCTCGAGGCGCTCATGCTCTACTATTATCCGAAGAAGGCCACTACTGCACGTCGATGGAACGAAAAACATCGTCCTGAGGCCCTGGGGCCAGCTTGGGAACGGCAGTATTTTAGGCGCCGCTTGGGGGACAAATTCGTTGTGAGGCCGTTTTCACCCAGGTAACTGGTCCTTTTTTGCGGTTTAGTCTAACATGTCAAGACGATGGTCACTCTTCTACTGACTATCGTCGTACGTGGGAGAGTGAGTGTTTTGAAGCATTATACTACCTTCACAACAGGTAAGCTGGTGTGAAATGGGGGGAACTATCTATCGTCTGCGAATATAAACGGGACATCGAGAAGCCAGCTCTTTGATCGTACAACTGCTCACGGATCAAGCCAGCATTGAGCGGTCGATTTCGTAGCGGCCAAGTCAGACGGTGGAAATCGACCGGGTTATGGCCGATTAACCTGACACGGCGACAATACGATAGGTGGCCGATGGCCAAATCGCTAACTAGTGGTTCCCCTAAGATAGCTGCACCACCACTTGGGTCGCAGTGTTCCGTCGGCCGATTCTCACCTGACCGATTGCTTGTCTGGGTGAGACCTGGTCAGACACACCTTGGAGATCTTGGAGATCCTGTGAAAGGCATCGTGGCTTGTGAAGGGCCTCTACGCTGGACCCCGATTGTCCACGAGAGCAGGTCAAGAGATGCCCTTCGGATTCTTTGCGCACGATCGAGGTAGGGTGGGGGTCGTAGGGATTCAAGGGTCCACTGGGTCCTGCACACACTTTAACTCCCGCTTATCGATAGCGCCTGGAGCCCCTCCATCCCACCCATGATGGATCCGTTTCCTCAGCGTGAGGTGCCCCCGCGTCGCACAAGCCTAACGAGCACGCGGTCTCTCCGAATGGAAATCTCTCAAGGCCACAGCCACGAGGTGCTGCTCAAGGCGCATATTACCCATCGAATTTGGCAGTGATCAATCGCTGAGGCATCAGCTTGTGTGGAAATGCACACGCGCTGAAATCCCGGGTTCAGGACTGAGCTCAAGGGAAATAGGAATGTCTTCCAACGCAGGAGAGGTCGGGAACGCATCTACATAGTTCAATTGACGATAGCGAGTCAGTCGTGCGGTAGGTAGTCCTTGATCGGCAGTAGCTTGAACCCCTAGACCCTTAATCGCTCAGGAGCTGTTGGGGAAGAAGAGCGGATCAGAGACCGGTAAGCCGCACCAGGCGACGGGCTGGTCACCGCCATGATCCATCCATCCATCCATGTGGTGGACTTTGTTCGTGCCGGATAGCCTAGCTTAGCTGTTGACGAGGAGGCCGAGACTGCGGTGATCTTAGTCCCGAAGCACGAAGCATGGGGAGCGAGTATGGTAGGTCTAGGTCTAGGCCAAGACCCCGGCCGAACACCCTGAAGCGAGCGAGCCTAGGAGTCTAGCTGTCAGCCTCCTCTTCTCCTTCGTCTTCCTCTTCTCGCGCCTACCATGAAGCTAAGGTAGTGCTGCTTTGGGCGTCCTCTAAGATGGTGATGGCCCCGATCTCGCTCTGATAGCAGTTCGTCCCTCCCGCTCCAGGGTGCTGGTTCTTCCTCTTCGTTCTTGACCGATGACTGATGACTGATGACTGAAATCAGGGTCACAAAGGACGCTCACGAGGGCATAACAAGGACACCCTCTTCGAGACCCCTAAAAGTGGGTGAAAGAGACGGGAACGGGACCCTTTGATAAGGCGTGCTGACCCCCTGCAGCTCAGCAGCCCGGAAGCTGCCCAGGTGCTTGCGACATTTTGGACAGGCCAATGAGGGCCACCTTCCGTCTCACAGTCTCGACAGAACGGTCCCCCAAACGACGAGGTTATTACATGTACTGGACAGGGCCGGTCTGGTGCCACGACGGGCTGATCATCTGTGGACTAGGTCGAGCTGCTGGATTCGGGAAGTGAGACCGATGGAGAGGCACTGAGAGGCACTGAGAGGCACTGAGAGGCACTGAGAGGCACTGAGTGGGTGCAGCTCCCCGACCAGCCAGGCCGGACCGCCACTACTGCACGCCAAAAGGCGGAAGTGGTGTGCTGGTTCGCGTGCTCTGCTGTGCTGTGCTGTGCTGTCTTGCATTTCTGTAGGGGCGCTGCTTCTGCTTTCCCATATCGACCTTGCACCTAATCTACCTACCGGGTGTTAATGCAGAATGGGCGGCCCCGGAACCGGCTGGCAATAGATGATATTCGCTAAGGTAGTCAGATAGGAAGAGACAATCAATACCCTGGAAATGGAAGCCAAGCCTGCACTCTCGCGATAAGGGCAGCCCGAAAGCGAGACAAGCAACGGGGAGTGGAGGCTGTCCTATAGACTAACTTATAGTACTGTACAGACCGCCATACTACCTGGGTATACTTGAGGAGCGGCCCACATCCTCGTCGACCCCCCTACCCCTCCTCTCCTGGACCCTTCTTACTTACAATAATACCTCGCTTCTTTATATCTCTCTCTCTCTCGCTGACCCCGAACCTGCCTCTTGAGCTTCCAACCTCCTCTCCGACCTGTGAATAGATTCAGAATTGCCTCTGGGCGTCTTCCTACTCGACTGCTAGTACTGGATTTGCCGCGGTCTTTCCATCCTACACAGCGAGGTACCAGCGATCGCGATCAACGAATACGCAATCCTTGTTATCGTGTAATCGGTCATCTCCACGGATAAGCCCAATCAGTCGGTGACAGACAGCCACCGACGCTGCTCAACACAGCGACTTTGTCCAGCAGAACTTGATTAAAGCTCGCCAACCCTGATTTTCCTATTCCTCGGTATTCCCTACAAACGCTTGTTCCTACTGGAGTTGGAGCGGCACAAGAGCATTCCAAGCACGCACTCGCCAGACCCAATCCTGACCCCGCCCGCCTCTCTGATCGACATTCGCCTGACTAGCAAGCAAGCAAGCAAGCAACCCGGAAGGAGCTTCCACCACCCAAATCGAACTCGCCGCCTTCCGATGATCATGTCTTGAGGTCTTCCAATCTACCATAGAGACGACACCTTTTTTGGACTCACCTCTGTTCTTCGATATTCGATGGCGCAACTGTCGAAATAGAGGCCACGCTGCCTTCAGTCTTCACCTTTCTGATTGCATACTGCACTTGTGCATTTAACAGCTTCCTGCGTGGTGTGGTAGAGATCCTGATCCAGACCCCACCCCACCAACACGGTATTACTATCGATACGGGCTCGAACAACGCCACTCGCTGCTGATCAGAGCTCGGCTAGCATCTCGAATTGAAGGAAAACAAGTCCCTCACCCGACAGGGGGCTAAGTTAAGTTCGCTTTAGAACTCGAGGAGGAGATTACAGCTGCGTTTTGTTCAGAGACGGACACAATGAGTGAAACAGCAATTGCAGCCAATTTGGCTGCTGGTATCATTGAGGAGGTAGACGGCTTCAGCAGCGACCAGGACCGGATGGGCGCGGAAAGCCCCGACGTCATCCAGATCGAAACCCCGCCCAAGAAGAAGGAGAGGAGACAGCGACTGCTTCGAGGACTGCAGCGCATCTCTTCCTCGCCCTCGCTGGCCCAGATAGGGCGCTCGCGATCCTCAAGCAGCCCGTACCATGGGCCCGGCAGCTTTTCGTGTGTAAGTCTGGCTTCGAGCCCCTCCCCGTTCGGCCAGCCCAGCGCCGCCGGCTCGTACTTCTCCTACTCCTCAAAAGGAGGGCTCTCGACTGCGCCGACAACGCCTGGCGCCGAATCTCCCTACTACTACGATGGCATCGAGGAGATCCTCGCTGCCCGCAAGGTCGATAATGCAGCACCGGCTGGCCCGTCTACTACTACCATTGCCTTGCCAGCCGATGTGAAGCCCAAGAGAGCTTTCTTCAACATCTGGATGCACCTACCTCACGAGGTCAAGATCCATGTCCTGCAATTCCTACAGCCGAAAGAGCTTGTGCGAGTATCACGCGTGAACAAAGAGTTCTACAAGATGTGCTTTGATGGCCAATTGTGGACAAGCTTCGACGCGTCGGAGTTCTATCAGGAGATCCCCGCCGAGTCATTGGCCAAGATCATTGTCGCTGCTGGCCCATTCGTGAAGGACCTCAATCTAAGGGGTTGTGTCCAGGTGGAACATTATAAGAGAGCAGAAGTCGTCGTGAAAGCGTGCAAGAACTTGATTAACGCGACTCTGGATGGCTGCCGTAACTTCCAACGTACGACGTTACACAGCCTGCTCAGAAGCAATGAGAAGTTGGCAAACCTTGACTTGACCGGGTTGAGTGCAGTAACTAACACCACATGTAAAATCATTGCGCAGTCTTGTCCGTCACTGGAGAAACTCGACGTCAAGTGGTGTGAGCATATGGATGCCCGCGGTATCAAGATGGTAGTGGAGGGTTGCGCCATGCTTAAAGACTTGCGAGCCGGTGAGGTCAAGGGCTTCGACAACCGGGAGGTTGCAGAAGCGATATTCCAGACCAACAATCTAGAGAGGCTGGTCCTGAGCGGATGCGAAGACCTAAACGATGCGGCCCTCCGCATCATGATGCACGGAAGCAACCCGGAAATCGACATACTCACCGACAGGCCGCTGGTGCCGCCGAGGAAGCTCCGTCATCTTGACCTCAGCCGATGCTCTAACCTTACAAACAACGGCGTCATGGCTCTCGGCCACTTCGTCCCGGAGCTCGAGGGTCTACAGCTCAGCGGGTGTACCGCTCTATCGGACGCAGCACTTGAGCCGATCTTGGCTACGACACCACGTCTGACCCATTTGGAACTCGAGGATCTCGCAGAGCTGAGCAATTCTATCCTCTCCGAACATTTGGCCAAAGCTCCCTGCGCACCGAAGCTCGAGCTCTTGTCAGTCAGTTACTGCGAGAACCTCGGCGACACGGGCATGCTCCCCGTGATTCGAAATTGCGTCAATCTCCGCTCGGTGGACCTGGACAATACACGAATCAGTGATCTCACCCTCGCTGAGGCGGCTGCGATGGTCCGCAAGCGCTCAGGGCGCACAACAGATCGCACCAACCGCCCCCGAGTCGGTCTCAACATGGTCGTCTACGACTGCCAGCATGTGACATGGACGGGCGTGCGCGAGGTCCTGTCCCGCAACACCGAGATCAAGACACCCAGAGCCGACGCCAACTCCCGGCCGGTATCGACGTATCCCACCGAGGTGATCGCCCTGAAGTGCTTCTACGGGTGGCAGATGACGGTGGACGAGCACACGAAGCGGGTGCTCAAGGGCGACCTAGCCGCGGCCAGCAGGCTGGAGCGCAAGTGGGCAGACTACATGCAGGCCAACGAGGAGGCCGGGGCCATCGGCGCGGGTATTCGCCGTAGGAGGCGACGCGCTCGCGAAGCCCAGATGGCACATGCCGATGAGGAGGAGGCCGGGGCGACGGCCACCGGGCGCAGGCGGGCGAGGACCGCGGCCTGTGCCATCATGTGAGCACCGGCGCAGTGCCAGAGACAACAGAAGCTTGGAGTGTGAATCGCTTCTTGCTTTGCATTACGTATAGTGGTTTCTGGCGCATGGGCATCTGTCTAGACAGCATGGGTGGATGGGTTCGCTGGTCTTGGCTGGTATACGACGTTCGGCTAACACCAGAACATATTGACGATTTACACCAACGCTGGGACGGACTCTTTGCTTTACGTGCCTGTGTTGGGTGTCTTGGGCGCATGGGTTCAGATTAGACTTTTGGGGGGCTCATTTCTCACATTTCCATCGGCGCTTGCCTTTCACGCCTTCCTTGGCTTACTGCATGCAGCGAGCAGAGCAGGGCGAACGCATACGATATACGCATTTGGGCGCTTTTCATTCCTTGTGGTGATTGTGTGTAGTTGGGGCTTGGAAGATATCTCCTTGGCTCCGTGGCTACTCGCGTCTCCTGTGTGTGTATGTAAATATCTCTGTTGTTCGGAACGGTAGACACTTCAGATTGTCTGTCACTCTCCCATATAGACCAAATGAACATGCGTGAAACATACTTTGGAAACTGGAGACTTTGCTATTCCATGTGTGCGTATTCCACAGATTTGTCAGATTGCTAAAGTGCTCTAGAGGGTTGTCTTGCTCTGATATTGCTGATCGTCTGAAACAGGGGATCGGAATATATTCAAATGATCTTCCTACTATAGACTTGCAGCAAGATCTTCTGAAACACTACTCTACTTGAGTCAACAGGCCACAAAAGAAAAATCTGCTCTGTCTAAATTTGCGGACATGATTGACATTCTTTTGGGAATTCTCCCTGCCCACGAGACACCCCTGAGTCCTGGGGCATGGTCACCGCGCTTGAGCAGAATCATCCTTACGCCAGGAGACGGCTACAGAGAATCCCTGTCCCTAGGGACCTTTTCTACAGAGAAGTTTGTTTACCTTTGGAGCAACTGCTAGCATTTCGGACTATCCGTTCGCAATCTCACGAGAGTGTTCACTCCCAATGAGTATATTGCTGTGCTCTGCAATGATTGGTACGCCCAACTTCGAAGACAACATGACAAGATCGAGCTCATTCCTAGCCCATTTCATAGAAAGACCTTCTTTACGATTGCAACTTCCTACAGAGTAAATGGCCACATTCTATGATAGGTTGACGATCAAGTTGTGGACAACTGTGCTCCCCTGGCTAGAGAACCCGACATGGGCACGCACTCTCTTCTCCAGCCTTGCGTCCTGGAACAGCCGTCGCTGCAGTCTCTGCGCACCAGAATCTCGACAGCTAGTCGTGTCAGGGGAGCACATCACTCACTACCCCTGAACTAAGTTCCGATCGGGACAATGTAGATTTCACACCTAATGCATGCAAAGCCGATGCAAGGCACCAGAGTCACGAATAGTGCCTGAGAAGCAGGTGAAACACTCGGGGTGTCTGAGGTGGGTGCTCCAGTTCAACGGCTTCAAGTCTTGCAAAAGGTCAAGTCCACGGGGCTCCTTGGTTGCGCACACGCCTCCTGGGCCTTTGGGGGTCTTGAGTCGTAAGCTTCTGGTTCAGCAAGGGGGTGGGTGGGTGCTTATCGATTGCGCTGGTCAAATTGTCGTCAGCAGCATGCACGTTCAGGGAGAGAAGGGCAATCGCAGGTGAAATATTGCATTTCGAGTTTCAATTCATCTGTCCTGCGTTGGACGTCACTGGGTTGAGGTTGATTGTGACATGCATGTGTTGTTTCATTTCCTCAATAACGCTTCGGTCACAGCTGAACTCGGGGGCACCAAACTCAGTTGTTTGGATGAAAAAGAGATATTTCGGCAAGAGTTGTACAAGTATTCGTTTCACGTGCCCGTAGCCATGAACGAAAGGCTTCCACACTTGCGAGTAGACCTTGAATTTGACAGGACTTTGTGTATTGGGTTATGTCAGTAAGTCAGAGCTAGAAAATTATCAACCTCAACTCGGGTTCAGCAACGAAACTCGAAACATTGGCAAAACTCAAGGCGGTCGTCGTCAAGCACAGCCCTCCTAGTGCTCCCTTTTCATCGTCCTAGCCAGAGAGACAGACATAGCACATGTCGCTACGTGCACGCTCCTCATAAATGCTGGAATCTTCCAGGCGACTGACCCCTAACTTCTGCGTCATCCCTTGCAGGCTCGGACTCGCCACGGTTCCCCGAGGGATGAGACAACACGAGAGAGACAAAGACCCTTCTTCCACATCTGTGCTAAAAATTGTTTGCCCTGCATACGGGTCTCTAGAGTGGACCCTGGAGGCGGTTCGGTTCAGAGTGCTGTGATGTGGTGATGTGTGACAGCGATTGCTCAACCGCTTAGCTAATGCAAGGAATATCAACAATCCTGTACAGCATCAAGGCGACAGTCACCCCTTCTCTGTGCGACTCGCTTTGTTAGATTTACGGCCACCTGGCTATCGGTAGGTTTAGTCTGCAGATTAACTGGGTCAGGTGAAGCGTCCATGGTTGTACACGGCCAGTCCTGTTTCAGTATGTCGGTCGGTTCGCATCAATATCTACCGACGCCATGGGAGACGTTCCAAGGTACTACGATGAGGTAGGTGGCATCATGCCGGGTGTCTGTCATGTTTGGCTCACGAGAAGGGACGAAACCCACTGGGCGTTTATCTCAGATTGTCTCTGATCTAAAATCGCATTCTAAAATAGCGTCTATGACCGTTGCTGCGGCACAAGTCCGATTTGCCCAAGTGCGACTAAGGCGAGGGGGTTGAAGGGGCAGATAAGAAAGATATGGACGATATAAGTCAAGCCTCGTGGAGTCGTGTTTACGTTTCCATCACTAGGACGCTGGTATCAGGCTCCATTGAGCCGTAGTGTACCGCAATGGGTCTCATACCCCTCACCTTTGAGGCGCGGGAGGCTGGTCGAGGCTTACTTGAGAAACTCAAAAATCCGGATTCGTACAGCATGCTGGACCGTTTGACTACATTAGTCTGGAATGGCGTTACGATAGGGCCCTGCACGATGCTCAAAGCAAGGACGATGATGCATCGTGAGAATTGAGTTGAGCAGTGACCCAAAATCATGTGAAGGCCGAGGACCCAATTATGACTTATCGCTCGCGGGGTCGATCGGCCTGCCTCGATAAGAGCAAATCCCGGTGGCCGGCAGTCGTTCGCTACTCTCCACTTTCTCCAAAGATCCGTCGCGGATCTCGTCCACTCCGATGTGCTAGACGGCGATCAATCGGACCACTTCCCAGCGCTCTGGATGACCGACGACATACCACAGTGCAGTACGCGCCCAAGGCTGTGGTCACGAGGGAGATCATTGACTAGGGGAGCTTCTTAGTGCGCTTTGCATTTGCCTCGGCTACACCAAGCGTAGGCTTGTTCACTCGACCTCGACTCCCCAGAGACACAGAGCTATTGTTCCTCATGTTCAGTCCCTCGAAAAACTCGTCAATTGCACCTTCACCAGCGAAATGACGCTACAGGTGATTTATGTGACTCGTCACGGGGTAAGCCTTCCCCCCCCCTGATAGCGCAGCCTTACTCACCCAGCGCATTCGACGAAACTTGCCTACTCAGAGCAAACTGTGGCGCAACCCACCTGATGAGGCGCGGGCAAAGCTTTAACTGTGATTGGCATGCTGACTTGGGGAAACAAACCTTCAGTTTCGTTCAAACTGGCTTGTCAACCCATCCACAGGCAACTATACAGCCTCGATCCCCTCTCCAACGGGTATATCCGCGGATCCTGCATTGACGGCTCATGGGGTTGACCAGGCAAAAGAACTGGGAGCTCACCTGCTCACCGTCAAACCGCCAGTTGAGCGGGTGTACTCGAGTCCTTACTACCGCTGTTTACAGACAGTGGACCCTTTCATCCAAGAGATAGCCTCCGCTAAGCCGGCGGAGACTGCCTCAGGGGTATACAGAATACGTGGAGAAACTGGATTATCGGAATGGTACGGCTCGGCCCCATTTGAACATCCTACGTCAGCTGGCCCAGAAAGGCTGAAGGAACTATTTCCAGCCTTTGATGGAGACTACGCTCCCAAGGTGGTGCCTAGTAGGATGGGGGAGTCGATAGATCAGCTCCATGACCGCGTTGCCACAACTTTGGACGCCATAATTAGGCAATGTGACAGAGAAGGGGTGCGGGCCGTGTTGCTCTGCACACACGCCGCCGTGGTGATTGCTCTTGGGCGGGTGCTGACAGGGAACATGCCTGACAATGTCGAAACTGAAGACTTCCGGGCTTTCACCTGCGGCTTGACGGTGTACCAGAGGAGGTCTTCCGGAGGAGAATTCCCTGGGCAAAAGGAATGCAAAAAAGTGGCCATGGGAGTTAGTCCGGCCCACGCTGTGGAGACCCAGACGGCAACCGTGCACCGCCGAGATGCCGGAAACTGGAGCAGTCCCAGCTTCGGGAAACCTGCCGATCGTATCTCAGCTAACGGTGATCTGACCTCAGGGCAATCAGTATCATGGAGACATGGTCAAGGTGTAGGTGGTGGCTGGAATTGCGCAGTGAATAGCGACTGCAGCTTCTTGCGTGGAGGGGAAGAAAGGGGATGGTAAGTTAAAGTTTGGGAGTGATCGGCATGCCCTTGCGGGGCGTGCCCAATAGTTCCGTTGATAATTGCTTCTGGAGAACCACATTGGCTGACCATACGGCAACAGGCGCTTCTCTGGAGATGAGTCTTTCAGCGACCACAGCCCACAAGCACAGGATGACGCAGGGGTCGAACTTGGCGTAATTGTAGAAGGGAAACAAGCCAGCAGCAAAATTCCTCAAAAAACTGGTGGCTCGCGACTCTAGCTGAAGGGAGGGATTGTGATCTCAACAACACCTCAGCCTTAAAGCAGGTGGTTGAATTAGTCGCGGCCGGTCTTTCGTCCGCGGGGCCCGCGCTCTATCTCTCAAGTGAGACCAGCGCCAGATTCGTCTCAAAAGAATTCAATAAATTCAGTGCTACGTCGATCACCTACATGTTAAGTATATTGATTAGCTCGTCATGAGATATGGAT